CACAAGAAAATAGCTTGAGAACAATATTTGACTTTTTAATTTTGTAGAATTTATTCCCACTTTTTTATTTTGTACAATAAATAATTTTATTATTTGTTATCAATACATTATACGGTGTAAATAAATAAATATTGATTGTCGGCAAAGTTCTATTTTATTTACTTTTGTTTACATTGATATTGACTAAGAGCACGTATGCTTGGTTGTATAGTAATTTCCAGCCACTTCGAGTCTGTCAAAAAGTAACTAACTTCTCAAAAAAATAATTACTAAAATCACTAGACAGTTCGGACTGGGAATAGCGAACCGGGTATATTTATTGTTTATTATTCTGTGCCCGGGAGTTTACCGAAAGTACAAGCTGAAGATAGCTTTTACATAAATCAAAAATTGCAGAATTCATAACATAATATAAACAAAATGTACTTTTCTAAAGGCCGTATGACACTATGCATTTTCTTGTGTCATTTCTTATATCGTTTCTGATATAGAAAGTTGTCTATGTTTTCTTGTATCGTTTCTTGCACGTACATTTGTGTTCTGTATGACACTATGCAAGTTCTTTTACCAGAAATTGTATGGGATTCGGCACATGATTGGTCGAAATTTTGTTTGCCACCCTGGGTTACGTTACATTGGTAGTACTTTTAACGGAAATTTTTACAGTTACTCTTCTTAACTAGCCACCATTTCGGTGTGATTTAGATTTTAATTTGCTAAGAGTGCTTTTTTTTCGAAAATTTTTAAATTTAAAAATAATATGTCGTGGACCAGAGATCAGGTGTTGATGTTGGTTGAGATTTATGGACACCATAACAATTTATATAACATAAAGTGTGCATCTTATAAAAATAAGCATGCCCGACAAAGTTCTTTGGAGGCAATTGCCAAAGAGTTGTCTGCGGTGAGACCAGGCACCACAAGTGTGGATGTCTCGAAAAAATTTAATTCCCTGAGGGCGACATATTTGACCGAAGTTAAAAAAGTAGCGGCTACCCTTAAAAGTGGTGCAGGTGGTGACGATGTAAGTATTTTATATTACAACGCAAGTAAGCTTTCATATTACTGATTTGTCCTATGCTGGTACAAGTAAAAAAAATTAAAGATATATTATCATTTACAGGTTTATATATCAAATCTCTATTATTATAATGAGATGGATAAATACATCAGAGGATCTGGAATTGAAGCTAGGGAGTCAGAAGATTCGTTAAAGAAACAAACGGCTCCTTCTTTTTCAGGTGCGATCCACGAATTAAATTTAAATGAAAATGTGGAAATTGTAGAGGAAAATGAAGAAGCTTCTGATTCACAACCATTACTCCTAGAAGATGTAAGTAACTTTTTAGTGTTAATAAAAATGTTCAGTATTATTCAAGAACATAATACAAATATAAACTGCATTATAAGTGAGTTTGAAATTTTGTTTAGTACATTACATTTACCACTGTACATATTCTATATTTATATTAGACTTTGTTTTAAAAAATTTTTTTTATTATATATGTACTCTTATAATATTTTCTATATAATGGGGAAAATCCAGTTAATAAATAAATAAATATAAAACTTATTTTGCTTAAAATATTAATTTGGACTTTTGCCAAATTGCTGACAATCTAGGATACTTGTTTTAAATAATTCTTTTTAGGCCAATTCCCAGGAGAGTGAAACGATATTAAGTCCCAATGTGAGTGGTGCAGTCACACCACAGTTTCTATCTCGCCCACGTCAGAAAAGAAAACGTTGCGATAGTGAAAAGGATACTTTCGCTGGACTGAGAGATGCTGTAACTAGTCTGATAGACACATATCAAAATAGAACTTCAGTACCTGAGGACTCCAAGCCAGATACTACAGACTATTTTATAAAATACTGTGGTGCAAAAATTAAACAAATAAAATGTCCCAATATAAAATCTAAATTGGAAACTACAATTTTTGAAGCAATCCAACAGGCTGTAATGGAAGACTTAAATACTTAATAAATAATTTGTTTGTAATAATTTATTTGTTTTTTTTTGCAAATTATGTGTTATGTGTGACATAATTATGTGTGAATGGCATGCTCTTGAAATTCTACACCTATTTGGAGACATAAAATAATCTTTAAGCTCATCACAAATTTTTAGAACAGTTATTTATTGTTTTTAATAATACATTTCCTCCTGCCTTTAGTAGTTCCAATGCTATTTGATCCAATCCCTGTGATTTATTGTTTTTCAATTTGGCTAGTGCTGTTCTAGTCTTGGTTATTGTTGGTGGGCACTTTTCTCCCTCTGATGTCTGCTTGGTTTAATTGTATATCAAAGTTCTCCTCCCTCAAGCTTTTTCTTAAAATGTTCTGTCCATCTTAGTATTTCTTGCTGTTCTGGGAATGTATTACCCTCCTTATCTCTACACATTGTTCCCAGTTTGAATTCTTTTCTACATTTGTTTATTGTAAAACTTCCTTATCTCTGTTGGCTTACTTAGTTCTTTGTTTATTTTTTCTCTCTTCTTTCTACAGTGGATTTTTTTCTTTGCCAAGTTGATTATATTCCTCTTCTGCTCTCCTCTGTGGCACAGTTAGTAAATATGCTCTGTTCTTTTTTCTGTTATAATCTGATATTATTTGAACAGCCATTCGTTCTTGTTCTTTGTTTTTCTTCCATGCCTAATACTTCTTCAGCTGCTTCTTTTATGATGTTTCTACACTCTTCCTACTCCTCATTTATGCTTTCATCTGTTTTCTAGTTAAATGTTTACTATATTTTGTTTATATTCTCTATTTTTGTTCATATCTTTGAGTCCATCTACATTGTATCATTTATGTTTAGACCCTCTTTCCTTTTTATGTTTGAAATTCTGGCCTTACACTACTTTTGACCAGATAGTGATCAGAATCTGCATTTGCTCCTCTCCTAGTGTGGACATTTAGTAGATTCGATTGTGTGTCTTGAGTCTACAATAACGCGATCTATTATATTTATTTCAAGCCCTTTTGATGATTTCCAGGTGCCTTTGTGTATATCTTTTCAAGTATGTAGTATGTGAAATCGTAGGCTTCCACGGCCAGAGTCAGAATTATAGTTTATTCGTCTTCCGGGTTAAGACCGTGTCATTTGTGAGTGACCCAAAAGTTTGTTCATCTCGACGTTTCGCTACAATTGTATGTAGCTTTCACTCACAAATGACAGGGTCCAAACCCGGAAGACAAATAAACTATAGTTATGTAGTATGTGTTGGCAATCATCATGTTTAGTGATCTTGCTAGGTTTATTAACCTAACACCATTGTCATTTAATTGCTCGTTTGCCTGTTGTTGAAATTGCTGTTCTCTTCCAACTGCAAAAATGAACTAAATAAAATGTCGCAATATTAAAACTAAATTGGAAACAATAAGTTTTCAACCTATTCAACAGGCTGTAATGGAAGACAGAAATAATAAATAATTAGGTTGTAATAATTTATTTGTGTTTTTTTTTACATATTATGTGCTTGAATGGCATGCTCTTGAAACTCTACTCTCCCATTTGGAGACATAAAATAATCTTTAAATTCATCGCGAATCTTTAGAGCAGTTATAGTTGACCTAGAATTTGATGTTTGTTTTGATATCTGTGCTAAACTATTTGGATTAGAATTTTCTTCATTTTGATCCAAATTAGGAACTATTGGATTTTCTTCTATTAAAAAATTATGCAACACGATGCAAGCCAAAGTTATAGTTTCAACTTTACTAGGAGCTAAATTGATGGTTGTTAATAGAACACGAAACCTATTGGCTAAAATGCCAAATGCATTTTCCACAACCCGCCTTGCTCTTGACAAACGATAATTAAATATTTTTTTATCATATGTCAAATTTTTTGCTGGGTATGGTTTCATTACTTTTGTGGATAAAGCAAATGCATCATCAGCCACAATTATGTATGGAATTTTCATAACTCGTCCACAAAGACTTCTTGCATTTGGGAAATTTAATCTATTTTCGGAAATAGCAGAGGACAATTTACTGTGATGGAAAACCCCTCCATCACTAATACGTCCATTTATACCAACATTGACATATGTAAATTTATATCTGGCATCTACCAATGCTAGTAAAACTATGGAATGGCCACCTTTGTAGTTATAATAATAGGATCCTTCTGATACAGGGGGGCGAAAATTAATATGCTTTCCATCCAATGCACCAACACAGTTGGGAAATTGCCACATAGTTTCAAAATTACGAGCAATTTCCTCCCATTCATTAGTAGTATTTGGTGTCTAAAAATGATTATCATAAATAAAAGTTTATTGGATTTTTAAACTACTTACTGTTAAATATCTCTCTTGTAAACGTTTATATATGGCGGTGCATACTTCAGGTACGAATTTACTAATAGTAGTTTCATGAATGCGGCTACAATACATTAATGACCGATAGCTTTCACCAGTAGCAAGGAAACGAAGTGTGATCTGTAATCTATAAGAACATGATAAATAAGTAATGTTAATTTCAATTGAAAAATTTGTTTGTACCTGCTGCGACCTGAGATTGATTCTCTAAGGTGGGTATCAGTTTTGCTTATATCATTTTTTACCATATTGTATAAGTATTCAAACTGCTCACTTGTCATGCGTATAAAATTTTTGTAAGCTTCAGGATCTTCGTTTTTCAGCTCTTGGTTTAGCATGTTTAATATATTATTGCTCCGAAAATCAGTTCTCCTGGATATCCATGGTCTACTCCATAAACGTTTTGGTTTTGGTTTATTTTTTTTAGTTAACATGTGTGCCGCTAGCATTGTCAAACACGTTGTAGCTACAGCTACTATCACGAAATCGTCGTCCATATTAAATATCTTATCACGTATCAATATCAATATAGTTCTCTGTCAATATCAACAAAACATTTACAAAAAAAAATGAAATCATTAAGTCATCAAATCATATGATCGAATTTTCAGCCGCCATTATGACAGACAGAACTTTTACGTTTTTGCGCACAAATGGACCGCAGGAGTGTGACGTCACATGTCATTATTACTTTCCAAACAAACATTGAAATGTCAAATCTCAAGACTTTTTAATTCCTATAAAGTTAACATTTTGCTTCCTCTACTGCTTTTTCTTGTAAGTATAGTGTTTTTACGATAATACCGTCATAATTCAGAGTTCTATTTCTATGAAATATGGTTTAAAAGTTTAATTAAAGAATTTTAACCTTACTTTATTGATACTTTCATTTTATTCCTATTAGCATAAAACAATGTGCTTTATTATTTACACAACCTTGTAAAATTGATGTAGTAACTATTAGAATACTTAAATATTGCAAAAAGCGGAAAGATTCTATAAAATAAATGAAAAAATCACGAAAAATACAAATTAACCACACTAAACAACGTTTGTTTGGAAACTGAAACTGGCAGATGTCAATCAAATATACGTCATCACTCCTGTGGTCCATTGGCGCAGTTCTTGTACAAGAAAATGCAGCCGACACAGATTCTTGTATCGTTTCTGATATAAGAACTTATACGCTTGTATGACACTATGCATTTTTTTCTTATATCAGAAACGATATAAGAAATGATACAAGAAAATGCATAGTGTCATACGGCCTTTAAGCTTTATCTTTTTATATTTGAATCATACAGCATCTACATTATAAAAACATGCCAGCACTGCTATACTGAAATTTTTTATTCCATGTTTGACATTTGGCGTACATAACATACAAATCTGTCTTGTCTACCTACAGTCACTGTCAAAATTTATTGATGACAGTTGAATGTTTGTATTGTGTAGATTTAAATTTGACCAAATATACAAAATATACCAGCAATATAATATTATGCAATTCAGAAATATGTAAACTAAGTTAATTCATTTAGTTCGTTGAAAATACATAAAGGTAAGACAATTTTTTATTTTAATGCATTAGGAAAGAACCCCCTACATTTTCAATTTCATTTCCAAAAAAATTAGTTTTGTTAATTTCATTAACAAAACTAATATTGGTCATCTCAAAGCATAATTTTTGTTCTGGGTATTTATCGAAAAATTAACTGTAGTATGTAAAACGTGAGTTTTAGTTAACATACTTAATTAGCAGTAATATATTCGCATTTATAATATATAATTAACCAAACTTTTTATGCATACTCCTATAAAAAATTGTTTTATTTTGCCGGGACAATCTTTGGTTATAAAAATTATTTTACTGTAGGTATCGGCCGTTCAAATTTTAGATGAAAGCAAATGAAATAGTTTTCTGTACCTCCAATAAAGTGTCTATTTTGTAAAATTTACAATCATGTCATTTTATTATTCCACTTCTGTTATTCTGTGAGATGCATATGTATTATACTTTGACGAAATTTTTATTGATCTGCATCATTTGTTAAATTACCAGCAAAGTATGTTGATACTGTTTTGAAATTCTTCTATATCAGTTTGTCTGTAATTGACAGTTTATAAAATACTTAACAGTTTTATCTGCAAAAATTGATCATCATCATCATCAACAGCTATTGCATCAATCATAGGATGTAAGCCTCCCTTAGGTGTGTCCATTCATTTCTTTCCATTATTTTTGCATCCATTTGTGACCAGCCATTCACTTGATGTCATCAGTCCATCTGGTTTGAGATCTGCCTCTACTCCTCTTATTTGCTCTTGTTTGCCATTCAACAATTTGCTTCTTCAACAGTTGTCTTTCATTCGTATTCTTTATTCTTCTTAGTCTTCTGCAACCATTACCAGGATAATATTATCTATAGCAGATAAATTGCCAATAATAAATAAGGAGGACCAAACAGCTCAAATTGTATGTCTGACAATTACATATGTAATTTCCTGGTTCTATTCCTGACATTATAATTGGCTGTAATATTTTCTATTACCTTCATTGCATAAACCAAGTCTAAGTAATTGTAGACAACCCAACAGTCCTAGTATACTTCTAATTTATTTTCTTAATTTGAAAATACTTTTAAGGTATTGACTGTGGGGCATCATTGTACTGAAGCCCTATTTGATGGTGTTGAACTAGAAGGTTGTCAACAAAATACAATTAAGCACAAATAATAATCTGCATACCATAAGGAAGGTCCAATTATTTGATCTTTATAAATTCCACACCAAAATATTTGTTTTGAACATAAAATATGGATTTGTGTCAATGTACACTTCCCGTCATATAAAACTTGTACACTTTTTTTCCCAATGTAAACCTGTGTTCAGACTGGACACAATGGTTCGTGAATCAATTTGTTGTTGCCATTACAGATAACGGAATTTCAGTAAATTTAAATAAAATGTAAAACATACAAAATAACGTTTAAAAATATATAAAGTTTTTAGATAGGTATTATTTTTATTATTAACAACAAAAAACCGTATCTAATAAATTTAATAACCAGAAAAAGGATTGAGTTAATGTTCAAAATATTGAACGATATTTAAACTTGGCTTATTGGCACAGGGAAAATTGGAATGCATCTACTGTAATTTTATACTTCAATTACTTATAGAACACGAACTGTTAACTGTATCACAGATTTTATGTCAATCAGTTTAGTAACAGGTAAACTACCTAAATTTATTTATTATTTATTACACAAACGATAATTGTGAAAAACTAACATTATACTTTATCCTACGTAGATTATAAACTATAAAATATCCGGGGCGAAAAACGCTTTTCAAAACAGGCTGTAATTTTATACTTCAATTACTTATAGAACACGAACTGTTAACTGTATCACAGATTTTATGTCAATCAGTTTCTCTCTCTCTTCAATCCCGACCCCCCAGGGGGAGTGTAGTGGTTGACGTGATGTCGTGTATTGTCCGTCTCCAGAGATCTCTGTCTCTGGTCATTTCTTTTAATTCATGCATAGGTCTTGGCATATTCCTGTAATTTGATCTATCCATCTTGTTGGGGATCTTCCTCGTGATCTTCGGCCTTCTACCTTTCCTTGTATTATGAGTCTTTCCATGTTTTCTGTGTTTGCTCTCATAACATGCCCAAAATATTTTAATTGTTGGAGATGGACTTTACTAGAGAGTCGTTGGCTAACTTTTAGCTCTCTTAAAATTGAATTATTTGTTCTGCGGTCGGTCCAAGGAATTCGTAACATTCGTCTCCAACAGAACATTTCAGTGGCGTCTATCTTTCTTCTCTCCGATTGTCTCAGAGTCCAAGATTCGCATCCGTAGGTCAGTATTGGGAATATTAAGCAGTTGATCAACCTCATCTTTATCGCTCTTGAAATTTGACAGTCCTTCCATATTTTGGTCATTTTTGCTGTGGCAACTTTTGCTAGATCAGATCTACATTTAATCTCTTCTTGTAATGACCCTGTGTTTGTGATTAATGATCCCAGATATAAGTATGAGCTCACAACCTCTAACCGGTCAATTGTGGTTATGTGTGGATGATTGTTGAGTAGTCTATCCACTATCATGATCTTTGTCTTTGATATGTTTAATTGCAGACCAAATATTTGACTTTCGTTTTCAATCAGTCGTATAAGTTCTATCAGCTCTGCTTGACTATTTGCAAGAAGGGCTGTGTCATCTGCGAAACGTAGGTTGTTTAGTTTATGACCATTTATTGAGATGCCCTTTTCCCATCCTTCAAGTGCTCTTCGCATAATATACTCCCCATATATGTTGAATAATTGTGGAGATAGTATACATCCTTGTCTGACACCCCGTTCTGGATGAAATTCGTTCGAAAGTGTGTCAAGTACTTTAACTGATCCAGTAGTGTGTTCATATAGTTCGGTTATAAGCGTAATTAGATGTTGTGGTACGCCTACTTCTTTTAGTATTCGCCATAAGTGTCTCCACTTGACCCTGTCGAACGCTTTACAGTAATCTATAAAACAGATGTATAGTGGGATGTTGAATTGCCTAGATTTCTCGATTATCTCTCGATTATCTGTCTAGAGTGCCTCTACCTTTGGTAAATCCAGTTTGCTCTTGTGGAATTTCTCTTTGAAGGAATGTTTTCAGTCTCTCATTGATTATATGTAGCATTATCTTACTGGCATGGGATATAAGAGAGATAGTTCTATAATTGTCGCATTTATGGAAGCTGCCTTTTTTATGTATGGTCGTTATTGTAGATTTTGTCCAGTCTTCAGGCCATTGTTTGGAATGCCATATTTGGTTACAGAGTAGATGAAGTAACTTTACGCCGGTTTCTTCTGTGGCTTTAAGCATTTCTGCTGTTATCATATCTGGACCTGGTGCTTTGTTATATTTGAGCTTGTTGATAGCCTGTCTTACTTCATTTTCGAGTATATCAGGTTCTTCTTCCACCTCGTCAGAGATTTGGCTAACAAGCTCTTGGCGTTGATCATCTTTATATAGGTCCCTGCAATACGATCTCCATGTCTCTGCTATGTCTTCTCTGTTTGTTCTCAGGGTTCCAGTGTTATCTTCAATGGCCCAAGTTCTGGCTCTGAAATCTCTTGTCAGGTAGCGTATTTTTCTAAATAGATCTCTCGGCTGATTATTCTGACCATGTCTCTCAATTTCTTTGCATATACTTTGATAGTACTGTTTTTTGTCGGCCTTACATCTTCGTTTTATTTCTTTATTGAGGTTTCTTAAACTAGCTTTTTCCCTTTCACTATGTACACCACTTTTACAAAGATTTCTTCTATTCTCAATTATTTTAAGAGTTTCATCTGATATCCAGTGTTTCCGTTTCAATCAGTTTAGTAACAGGCAAACCACCTAAATTTATTTATTATTTATTACATGAACGATAATTGTGAAAAACTAACATTATACTTTATCCTACGTAGATTATAACTCCGCCTGGGTTGTCTGATGGGTGGATTGAGTAGCTCATCGGATGACACTGCCGGTCCCAAGCCCGGATAAAGGAGGAGGGTCCCCATGGCAAGGCTAGCCACCTACCTGGGGTAAAGAAACCCATATTGGCTCACAGAACTGAAGATTCAGCCTCGGATACCGGACGGAAATATCAGATGACGACACACGCTATGACAATGGAAAAACGAATTGGTAAACGAAAACCTAAAGACCCCATCACACGAATCGCGTGCTGGAACATTACGTCGTGGAACGGAAGAGACCAGGAGATCATA